AATGTATTTTAATATAAAACATTACTTATATTATTAATATAATAGAAATTGAGTAATGTAGCATTGAAATCATTACATTGTGTTAAGAAAACCAACCATATTCCTGTGCGAACTATCAGAATTGTAAACATTAAAATGTCAAGTAAGAAGAGGGCGAGAGGGAGCTTTAATTGTCTGGGCGGCGACACGGCCAATCAGATGACGCAACCCAACCGGGGGCGGCGCTAGAGCTTCTGGACTAAAACCGAGCTACGAAGCGAAGCAAAGTCGCCACGTGAGACGCAACCTTTACATCGTCTAACCTTTGTATTATTGTACTCTTAATTAGCTTTAAGGCTGTTATACATTTAGAAATATTGCAATATTTTAAAGGTAAAGATTTTATTAATGTAAATCCAATCCGGAGCAAATATTTATGCAAAAACATAAATAATTGGTTTTCGGGTTTGATTGTGTCGTTTTTATATCTGTTTTTTTTTTCTATAGGATAGGCTGACAAGCGAGCACACAATCCACCTGATGGTAAGTGGTTGCTGTGACCCATTGACATCTATATCTATCCTCAATAAAGAATCAAAATGCAGATGCGTTGTCACCCATGAGGACAAGATGGAATGCCTCTTTCCCAGTAAAACGGGTCTCCGGTTCTCTACACTCACCATACGGAACACAGCAGCATTAAGCTGCTATTTTACGCTGGTGTCCTGTGAGAGCGTGGTCCTTCCCCGGTCGAGCCGACCCATTCGTGCTACAACTATACTACTAATATAGTTATATAGAGACTCCACTGCCTTCCACTGATAAAACTACGCAGTAGAACCAGTGCGTGCCACTGTTTCAGCGCGTATCTACACTTGGGGCAGTAGTACCCATTGTGCACTTAATTGCTTACAAATATTCGGAAGTATTTGCCGTGAACAAATATTGCTTGTAAGGAGGACCGTTATAGTATTGTTACGACAGCCAGTTACGTAATACGACTCGATCGACGATCGACATACGACATATACGATTATTGGGGACCTCTACGAAGAAGCTTAACGATTTAGGACAACTTAATTATATACTTCGCGTAATTATTTCCTAGTAATGGTAGCTAAGGAGCTAAGCGCTCGTTGTAAATATCACAGAATGCGAGCAACCCACGTTCGAACTCCGCCGGCAACAATGAAATTGTTTATCACAATTATAAGTGCTCATTTACCACGTGGTCTACGGCGAATGTAAACATCATGGGGATACGTGTATAATTTAGAAATTAAAAAATAATATTTCGATGACATAATACCATTAGATACGCATTGAAGCAGCGCGGCGGCCTTTTCCTTGTCCTAAATACCTTCTCAGAAATGAGAGGATGCCTGTGCCCATGGTGGGACGTAGTAGGCTGTAAGTTTTATTATATACTTGTTCTGTACTCAAACTTAGTAAACAGAACAAGTCTGTTGTAATGTGTGGAGACTTTAATATCAATCTCCTTGAAACTTCTTCCATTAGTATTAAGTTTAGCTCATTGTTTAAATCGTATAATCTTGTAAATTTATTCTTAGAACCAACACGTATTGCTGGGCCTAGTGCGACCTGTATAGATAACATTTTTGCATAAATCAATTATTCAAAATTTAAGTTCAGATCACTGTGGACAGTTAGTATCACTACCTTACATACACAAAAAACAGAAAAATAAGAAAGTTGTGTTTGTTCCAATAAATGAACATCGCTTGGAGAGGTTTAGAAGTAATATAATAAAAAGACTTCCATCACTTTCGTTTAAAAATAGTGCTAATTATTTGTATGCTACATTATTTGAAATTATACGTTGTGAATTTAGTAGAATATTTACTTCTAAAACTTTCTCTTTTAACAGTCGCAAATCATTTAATGAATGGGCGACAGTAGGAATTTATAAAAGTAGGCGAAGGTTATACGAGCTTTATGATGAAAGATCATATAATAGTAGTGTTATATTTAGAGATTATGTAAAAACATATTCTAAAATATTTAAAAAAGTGTGCTCCACTGCTAAGGCTTTACATTTAAGCAACAAAATTAAAACTGCATCCGACAAAATTAAAATGACCTGGAGAATAATAAATAGTGAAACGGGCAAGGTCAAACCGCGCAACTCGGATTTTCAATTGAATATTAACAATAATTTAACGCGATCTGATCAAGAAGTTGCTATGGCTTTTGAGAAACATTTTACTAATGTTCCTTTTTTGACAACAAAATCATTAAATTCTTCTCCTACTGTCGCCGAATCATTGCTCAAACAAAATGTAAAGGCTTGTTCAAATACTTTTAAGTTCCATAGGGTACTGCCAAAAGATATCGTTAAATATTTTAAAACTATTGATGTTAAGAAAACGGCAGACTTATGGGGGATTTCCGTTAAAGTTATTTTATCTATAATAGATACATTAGCACCTTATCTAGCCACTATATTTAATATAAGCGTCGAATCTGGTGTGTTTCCTGATTTAATGAAACATAGTAAAGT